TTTTTTTCCCATGAAAGCAAGGAAAGAGATGAGGCAGATTTACATGCTGGAATAAGTAAAAAGACAAAAAAGGAAGAGCACAGAATCCCCAAAAGGCTAGTGACAGGAAGTTCCTAGACAGTAACCATGTAGGCGGCCAAAACAGCTGCCTGAGTAGACTGGACTAGGATAAGGCGGGGGAGGGCTGTAGGTGGGATGTTCCTGAGAAAATAAAGAAATTGACAGATAATCTACCTGTATAAATGTATCAGAAAGTAATTTACACTTCTGATAAAAAGTTCACAGATATGTTAGTACTAAGAAAACAGGAAACTAAACAAATAAAAAAGAGTTCTTAATTATTAAAAAAAAAAAAATGTTTCCCTGAAAGAAATTATAACCAAGGTATTGTCATGGCCAGAATATTGCTGGCTCAAGTTGCAAACAATGTATCTCCCTGATCTCACTGAAAATTACAACACAACATTCAAAGGACAGAAAGAAAGCCAAGGGGAAGGTCAGGATTTGTAAAAAAGCTAAATCTTTACTTATATCAACAGTAAACATGTAAAACTAAAAAACTTTAAGAACTACCAGAATTAGTTTTTTATAAATAGAAAGGTAATTACCCAAAAAAGCCAAAAAACTGTTACCTCCAAGGAAATGGGAATGAAGCCAGGTTGTTGGTGAAACAGGTGAAAGATTGCTGTTTTTTATAATAAGCCTCATAGAAATACGTGTTCTTTTTTTAAAAGCATGCATATAAAATTTTAATAAAAATGTTTCATTAAAAGAAGATATATTAGCAGTAAATTTAGATTTGATTTGATTATTAAATCAAAATAAAGGCTAAGCATTTAAACTTTATGAAGCACCTGAAAGATTTTTTTAAAAAAGATAAACAATGAGGTTTATTTTAGAGATAAATGAATTTAACATCACTAATTTAATAAAGTTTAACTAAAATGATAAATGAATTTAACATCGCCCATTTAATAAAGTTATTAAACTTTAGAAATAGTTTTTTTAAAAGATTTTTTTTCAGTTTAGCAATACAAATTTGAACATTTTCCTGGGTCTGTCTAGTCCACATCTTTCTAGTCCACATAATTGTTAGATAACATTCTTTTAGTTATTTAAATTACTTTCTTTCAATGCAAATTATCTGGTTTCTTTGATTTCACAGGCCTTAGTTTTCCCAATTTAGTGATTATATGATACTCTCTTTTCTATGGAAAGAAAAATTACTCTGGACTAGGTGCAGTGGCTCACCCCTGTAACTGCAGCATTCTGGGAGGCTGAGGTGGGTGAATTCCTTGGCTCAGGAGTTCAAGACAGCCTGAGCAACAGAGTGAGACCCTGTCTCTACTAAGAAAAAATAGGCAGGGCATTGTGGCAGGCGCCTATAGTCCCAGCTACTTGGGAGGCTGAGGCAAGAGGATCGCCTGAGCCTAAGAGTTTGAGAATGCTATGAGGTATGGTACCATAGGACTCTATCCACGGCAATAGAGCCCCCACTCCCCCAAAAAATATCACTCTCAAAATTTGATCAAAGCAGCTGACAGCACATTTCTCTTTCTAGAACAACACTGAGTTTTGTTGTTCAGCCTACAGTTCCAGAATAGTCGAGGCTCCTTTTCCTACTCTAGCAAGGCACAGGCCATCACACCTACATCTAGCACATGTGTACTGCATCTTCCTTCTCAAAATACATTGCTGCTGAATCTGCCCCTTCAAAATTAAAGAACCAAGAAAAGACTAAAACTCTTAGCACAAAAATTAAAACACACTGTGACTGGGAATGCTCATTCAACAAACGCTCATTAACTATCTACTGTTTGTTAGGCACTTAAATTTAAATTTCAACTAAAAACAAACAAACCAAGTAAACAAAATAACAGCTGCCCAACTAACAAAACAGCAATGTGTAGCCTTAGGAAACATGTACAAAGCCCATTTCGGGAAAAAGAAGCGATAAAGTTATGAAGTTGGTAACAAATAACAAAATGAAAACTATTTTTGGCACAAATTTGCAAGCTATAGAAATGTTGAAATTCCTTACAGAAGTATTTAGAAGCCTGAGGACAGGATAGTCAGGAATGTTTCTATTTTAATCCCATCTTCTCATAGAGATGCTTTGAGACCAGCTAATGAATATTTGCAAAGTGCTTCCAAAGCAGAAGTTAGGCACAGACTAAAAAGCAGGCACAGAGTGCATAAAAAGGTAGTCAATCTCTTAAGTAATCCTAACAAAAGTTTATATCAAACATTAATATGAAAGGTTTTTTTAATTATTTAAGATGAAAAGCAACCCAAGTTCTTTGCAAATAAAGAAACTGTTGCATTACTTACGATATTTCCTGTGAATTTCATCTATTTCCTTTTCTGTTTGGTCCTTAGTAAAAATCATTACCTAAAATATATATAAAAAAAAAAAAACTTAATAAAAATTTCCCCCAAAATGTCACAAATGGATGAATATTACCAACTTTAAAATCTCAAATGTGGGTTTTAAAACAGAGGAAAAAAATCTTTTATCTCTTTTACCTAAATTGAGAATAACTCCTTTGTACTCCCCCCTTAATACCATAAAGCTATGTAAAAATTTAAAAAAAATTTCGGCTCGGCGCCTATAGCTCAACCGGCTAAGGCGCCAGCCACGTACACCTAAGGTGGCGGGTTCGAATCCCCAGCCCAGACCCGCCAAACAACAATGATGGCTGCAACCAAAAATAGCCGGGCGTTGTGGCGGGCGCCTGTGGTCCCAGCTGCTTGGGAGGCGGAGGCAGGAGACTCGCTTGAGCCCAGGAGTTGGAGGTTGCTGTGAGCTGTAATGCCACGGCACTCTACCCAGGGGGACAGCTTGAGGCACTGTCTCAAAAAAAAAAAAAAAATTTAAAAAATTTCAACCCTGGCATAAATGGGTTAATCTCTCTAGTCTTTTGAGTCTGCATCTGTAAAACTAAGGTGTTGAACTATACGACCTCTAAGATCTCCTTTTAACTCTGGAATTTTACTCATTTTGTCATAAGTTACTATTTTGTCATCAGTAGAAAATGAAACACTGATTAAAATGATCGATTAAATTTTCTATAAACAATATATGATTTTCCACATTCATTAATACAAAAGGCTATACTTGAAACTAGAAGACAGAAAACATTTAATTATTATTAATAAGGTGAATATTTTTATATGCTTTCTCTCCTTTCCAACTTAACTTCTCCAGATCATATTTAAAAAGCAATATATATAGAAAATGCAATAATACAGAACTCTGGGTATTAAATTTCTAGTTCCTCTTTAAAAGCTTCCAACTTAAAAAATCAAAAATTTATTTATACAATTCACTGCAGTCCCCATCTCATAGTCAGTACATAGGTAAAAATAAAGTCATGTAAATTCTACCTTTTTCTACTATCTGGTTATAAACTTACTTCCCTTACAAACACAGTAACAATAGTCTAAGAAAAAAAAAGTCTACTTGGGAGGGCGGCACCTGTGGCTCAAAGGAGTAGGGCACCAGCCCCATATACCGGAGGTGGTGAGTTCAAACCCAGCCCCAGCCAAAAAAAAAAAAAACTGCAAAAAAAAAAAGTCTATTTGGGAGAACCCAAAATACTTCCTCCAGTGTTATGGGACACTTGATAATTTTCTTCTTTGATATCTTGTCCTCTAGTTTTAGACATCAAGATAGAGAAAGGAGACAGTGAAAAAGTTTAGGTCTCTGATTTCCTCAAAAGTTCAAGAGAATAGTTAATCGTCATAAACTCCTCATCATAGAGTTGCAGAATGCCAGAGTTAAAAGGGACTCTTAGAGGTTGTATAGTTCATCACCTTAGTTTTAGAGATGAAGACCCATGCCAGGGTTGAAATTTTTGCATGACTTTTTGACAAGCTCCCAGCACACCAATACCTGCATCAGTGACTAGCCCTGTGCATCACGTGATAACATATACCCTCAGGAGGCAGACATATGTGAAAAATCAGACTTCAGCTATGACCTTGAAAAGTAGGATATAAATAACTCCTACATCACTAGCATTCCAATGGAACATGAGGCATAAAAGAGGTAAGTAGCTTATCAGATGCAACAAGCAAAGAAAAGATCAATATCAAAGCCACCTGATGCATAAGTATAGGTTTTTTCTGCAGGACCCTAGCTCATACTTTGGATTGCATTTTGTGTAAGAAGACTGCAAAATAAGATCAAGTATCATTCTAAAAATTAGCTGCAAATAAATCATAATACGCTAAATGGAAATACGTTCTTGTATATTTCCCACTGAACAGATTTAAGAATGGCTTGCTTTAATTTTTTTAGAGTATTCAGTTTTTCTTTCCTTTATTTCTACCCAGATACTGAAACAGACCACCAACATACACTTTCGTTGAGTTTACTAGCTTCAAGACGCATCCTAGTCTTCTCCATGTTTTCAATTTCTTGAACTATTTCAGCAGCTGTTAAAATAAGAACATATAACCATTGTTAACTACATGGTTTTGATCACTGCTAATCTGCTAACATTCAAAAGATACATGATGGATAGATGTGAACTTTCTGCCCTACTTTTGCAATTTCTCTGTAAATCTAGTATTATTTCCAAAAACTATTAAAAAAAAAAAAATAGAGTCAAAATACTGAACTCTTACACGTGTACAAAGTTCAAAATATAACCAGAACAGTAAAGTCAACTCATTTTACTTTAAACATACAGGAATAGATATAAACTGCAGTCCCAATGAAAATAAGAAAATTAATGTGCTGGTGTATGTTCATTTATTAGGGGATGTTTGCTTCAATGTCAATGAACTAAATGCAATACAACAGTCTACTTTTCAAGGAGAGAAAAAGGTCTACAAATACCAAGAGAAAATGTCCTTGCCTTAAGATCCGTCTACAGGTATAATCACCTACATAAAAAGATACAATATCTAGACTTTGCTTCAAAATAATCCATGGGAGAGTGACAGAAATGGTAGATGAAACAACATTAGGATGATTAGATAACTGCTTAAGCAGGATAGTAGGTATATGGGGAAATCAGTAAACTCTTTTCTATACCTCAATATGTGTCTGAAATAATCTCTATTAAAGTTTTTTTAAACCCCACAAACCTTAAGAGGATCATTTAAGAATGCAATAGCATAAATAAGAAAGTTACATTTTCTAAGCACTGAAAAGCATCTTTTGCCTCCCTAATGCTATAAACCCAGTGGAGAAAATATAAACAATCTCTCTGTAAGCATGAACTACTAGCAGTTTTCTCCTTTTCAAACTCACAGAGTCATGATATAATAAGAAAACAAAGGAACCATTTGTATTCTACTCAGTCCGTTAACACAAGTTTCATTCAATAGAGAGAACACCTACCATGACCTCTTCTAAAGTACTAAGAAAACTGGATTAGGATTGGCTATTATTTAGGGACTCATATCCTTCTCCGAGAGACTTCTGATTCTGTTTAGGATGTAGAGAAAACTGGAAATAATGCCATGCTCACCCTAATAACCAGAAAAAACTGGATAACTTATAAGACATAATTTTTCTTGAGTCCATCAGAGCAAAAGCCAGAGTGCAACAAAGTAGCCTGAAACTTAAGGAAAGAGGTGTGCTTTAAAGGAGATGGCACTGACCGACATAGGATAGCACACAGGAGAAAAACTGGGACCCCCTACCTCTGGGTAAGAAGATCTAGCAAGCCAACTGCATCAGTACTTACATTACATGTAAATGTTCTAAAAGTACCAATTAAGAGAGAGAGAATGTCAGATTAGATAAAAAAAGCAAGACCAAAACTATATGCTATCAAAAAGAATCCACCTTGGCTGGGCACTCTTAGCTCAGTGGTCAGAGCACTGGCCCTGTGCACCAGGGGTGTCAGGTTAATACCCAGCCCAGGTCTGCTGAACAAAAAAAAAAAGAGCTCATCTTAAAAAGATAGGTCAAGATAATAATAAAAGTATATAGAGAGATATATCATGCAAACACTTGTGATTTAAAAAACCTGAAGTGGCTACATTAATATGAGGCACAACAGGCTTCAGAACAATAAATGTTATCAAGGATAAAAGAGGGATTCTAGGCAGCCAGGACGTCACAGGTTTAAAACAGAAAGACACTTAAACATAGAGAGATGCAGTGTCTTAATTCAAGCTCACACAGTGTCAGGGGATGGAATCCAGACCTTCTGATATCCTTACTGAGATGGGGTCTTGTTATGTTGCCCAGGCTGACCTCAAACTCCTGGCCTCACACACTCATCCTGCCTCTGTCTACCATAGTGCTGGGCTTACCAGTCCAACATGGTCTTGTAACATGGTGGTTAAGAATGTGACTTTGGAGCTAGCCTGCTGGGGCCTGAATTCTGAATCAGTCATTTATTAACTGTGTGACCTTGGCTGGATTGCCAAGCCTGAAGAGCATAAGCCTCATGCTGCTGGAGGCCATCTTGCCATCTCAAGAGGACGCTGCCTGAGAACGAAGCCAACACAGACAGAAGCTGAACCGTGAGACAGAAAAAGACGGAGACCAGATGACATCTTTTGAGCACCTGGATCTAACCATGCCTTAAGCTAATCTAGCCCTGTTCATTTATTTTACATGGGCTCAGACCTTTATTTTTTTCCTTTTGAAAGTTTGATTTGGAATTCTGTCACCTGCAGCCAGAATCGTCTTAATAATTAGTGTCATAAATTGTATATAGTTCTCATTTTTAAAAAAAGAAGGATACTATATGATGATAAAGGGGTCAATTCACCAAAACAATTTGGTGTCTTAACAATTCTAAATGTGTCTGTACCTAAAACAGAAATTAAAAACATGTAAAAAAAAGAATTTCTGGTTTTAAGGAAGATGGATTTGACTCATTTCTCCCTATGCTTCCCCACAAAGTACAACTAAAAACCCTGGATATAATAGACAATTATAAGAGAACTCAGAAAGGTAGAAAAAGGAAGATGGACTGGCTAAGATGTCAGAATTAGAGAGATGACACAGCAATGAGTTCCCTGGGTTTTCTTTTCATATTCTATATATACCAGACCAAACTACAGAGAAACCCATTACCTAGGACCAACAACAAGCACAGATAAAAAACCCCCTAAGAACAATTTACTCTCTCTAAGTAAACAACTGCAAAGGGAGTATCCAGAAACCTTCTGGACAATACCTGACCTGACCTACCCCAGCTAAACACTGCTGATGCTCCCTACCCCTGCAGTATTACCTGAGAACAAGTGGGGAGTGTGGACTTCAACTGCCAACCAGCAGTAGCAGGGGGCCTGAAGTAGGCTATTCTCTCCCGGTGTCAATGGAGGCCTACCTAGAAAGGAGCCTTGACTGCCCAGTGGTGGCAGGTGGCACCCTCATCCTCTCCACCAGTGACTTAGAACGGGGCCTCAAGTTGAAGAAAACTGGAGAAAATACATATAAGTCTTTAAGTGTGTATATATACCTGACCAACTCACATGTGCCAAAGGGTTTGAAAACTGAACCACAGTGTGGAAGACCAGGTTTTCAGAGTAGCTTCCAGGTAGCAATTAAACAAAATAAACCAGAATAACTCTGCAAGGGCTCCAGGAACTCAACTGTCACCAGAACCACAGTCCCCAGCAGTAGGCCAGGATCTGCACACTAAGGTGATTTCCAGTTAAAGTAGAATACTTAACTAGGATCCAGAAGCTCTTAAGAATATATGTAAAATGTTTAAGATACAGTTAAAAAAAAAAAAAACCTCTCATACTAAGAACCAGTAAAAGCACAACTGAAATGAAAAAAGACAAAGATGTCAACACTGAGATAACTCAGTTGTTGGAATTATCTGACAAGAATTAATGCTTTCATCATAAAAATTATTCCACAAGCAATTGGGAACACTCTTGAGACAAAGGAAAACAAAACCAATGTAATACTTTTATGACAACAGTCAGTCCATTATAAAAATGTCTTTTTAATTGTTTAACTGTTACACTTAATTAACATTGTGTCCCCCCTTTAATTCTAAGAGTTATAATTAATTTTGTTTCTAGTCCTCATCTTAAACATTGTTACTGTTGTTAAAGTTTAAGCCTTTTTAATTTTGTGAAGGCAAAAAGTGGAAACCTAATAATCACATGTATATGTAAAACTAAAAAAAAAAAGGTGGGAATGCAGGGGAAAAAAGGAGTTATAATTAACATTATAACTCTTATAATTAAAAGGGAGACACAAACAATAACAAGAACTAAAAACAAAGTCAAACGAGTAAATCCAACTGCATATTAAACCATAATCACACTGAAGGAAGATGAAAAGAAACTGATGAACACATAATAGACTTCCTAGCCTCGGTGGATGAAGGCAGAGGGGTGGAGACAGACAAGGACTGCTAGCTAGAGTAGAGAACTAGAACAAGTCCTGAATTTTTTTCTTTCAAGTCTGTTTTGTCGTGAGGTAGTAGTATAGATGAAGCAATTCTGAAACTATCTTAGGTATATTATAGAACTGAACAAATTAGTAAACATGTTGATATTGTTGGGAAGGAGGAGGATATTGTTTTTCTTGTCTTACTGCAAGAAAAAAAGAGAAGCATAAACATGGAATAGAGAAAGGTAAAGAAGAATCCTATGGGGTTGGATTGAAAGCAGAAGTATTGTTTTGTTCCCATAATCTCTGAAACGCGTGAGTATAAATGGATTTACATGTACACATATATATACAGTACACATGCATTCATATGTATATATATGTATGCATACATTTCCAAGCTTCACCTGCTGAAATAGCCTAGACGCAAAGATACAAGTAGCAATAAACACAGCTGGTAGCTATCTTGGTTTCACCCATAAAAAGAATCAGAACTCCACAGAGAAAAAATGGCTGAATGCAGGGGTGGGACACGGAAGGACAAGATGAGCCAGCAATACCTTGTTATGCCAGATGTAAGAAAATGGTAACAAAAATAATGGGGGCATGTCACAAGGACCAGGAATCAGCACCAAGATGCTCCCATAAGCCAAATCTGGAAAAAGAAAAACACTAAAATAATTAAGAACAGTAATGAGTTATAAATCTGTGAACACATATCAATAGACAAAAGAAAAAAGCAGGACAGCAGGGAGAGCTCCTGTCAGAATCATGCCAAGTATTGACTGGCAAATATGAAAGGAATGCCGAGGTTGAAAACTCATCATTCCACAACTCTCACAGAAATGAGTAGTTCAGTCAAAAATTACCAAGTGATGCTACAGGTGAAATTTCAGTGAAGTACATAATAGTGGCATAGTGTTAAAAAGTGTCTCCGTGCTGATTTCTTACCAATAGCAAGGAGAAAGTGTAAATCAAAGCTGACTCACAAATGAGGGAGATGTCAGATGCCTCTGGATGTGATATTCTGAGGACGAATCAAAGGCCAATGTCATAAAGGACAAAGAAAGGCTGATAAATTATTCTAGATTAAAAGGGATCAAAAAGATATTACCATTAAATGCAATATGTGATCCAAAACTGGATTACACATGTATGCCACAAAGAAAAAAAAAAATCTGTAAAGGCCATTACTAGGTCCACTGACAAAACTGTAAACAGAGATGATAGATAAGATAAAAGTATTATAGGCCAGGCCCGGTGGCTCATGCCTGTAATCCTAGCACTCTGGGAGGCCAAGGAGGCTGGATTGTCTCAGCTCACAAGTTCGAAACCAACCTAGGCAAGAGAAAGACCCTGCTTCTAAAAATAGCTGGGCATTGTGGCAGGCACCTATAGTCCCAGCTACTTGGGAGGCTGAGACAAGAGAATCGCTTAAGCCCAAGAGTTTGAGGTTGCTGTGAGCTGTCACACCACAGCACTCTATGAAGGGCTACAATGGGAGACACTGTCTCAAAAAATAAATAAATAAATAAAAGTATTATAACAAAGTTAAATTTACTGAAATTGGTAATTGTACTATGGTAATAAAAGAGAATATCCTTTTACTTAGGAAATATACATGGAAGTATTTCAGAGTAAAGAATGAAAATTATACAACTTACTCTCAGATGGTTTAAGAAAAATATGTATGTATGCATCTATACATACACACATATACACACACACATTCAGAGAAAAAGAGAAATAGGAATTTACAAAGAAATGGGGCAAAATGCTGACAATAGGGGATCTGTATAAATTAGCATGTGTTCTATATGATAAATCTTTCAATTTTCCCAAGTTTAAAATTATTTCCAAATAAAAAAATTTTATTGGCCCATGTGCGGTGGCTCACACCTATAATCCTAGCACTCTGGAAGGCCAAGGTGAGTGGACTGCCTGAGCTCAAAGATTTGAGACCAACCTAAGCCAGAAAGAGACCTCATCTCTATAAATAGCCGGGTGTTGCGGCAGGTAGCTGTAGTCCCAGCTACTTGGGAATCACTAGAGCCCAAGAGTTGGAGGTTGCTGTGATCTGTGATGCCACAGCACTCCACCAACGGTGACTATATATATATATATACATATATTTTTTTTTTTTTTAAAAGAATGCAAAATTAAAACTTTTTCAGACCAGCAGAAGCTGAGAGAATTTGTTTGAGGAACATATATGTGCTACAAGAAATAGTGAATAAAGTTTTTCAGTCAAACGAAAACAATGCTAAATGGAAAGTTAAGATGTACACAAGGAAGAAAGAATACTGAAAATAGTAAATGTGCAGATAAACATATACTTTCTTTTCCATTTTTTATTTTCTTTAAAAGAAAACTGACAGTTTAAAGCAAAAATGGTAACAAAGCATTAGGAGTTTTTTAACACACACGAAGAAACATACTACAACATGGAAGTCCTAATGGCCCTTACATTATACATAAAATGGTATAATATTATTCGAAAGTAGACAGTGGTAAGTTAAAAATGCAAATGGTAAACTAGAACCATCACTTAAAAAACTCTACAAAGAAGTATAGCTAATAAACCAATAATATAAAAAATAATCCCCAAAAAAGTTGCAAATTAAAAAAAAAAAAAAAAACAGATAGGACATATAAAAAACAAAAAGCAGGAGGGCAGACTTGAACCAAATAGAATAAATGAAATGAAAATAGTTTAAGTCCCACCTTCTAATGATAGATTTTACCAAATTAAATTTAAAAAGAAAATCCAAATCATATATTGCTTATAAAAAACAGTTTAAATACACTGCAGGGGGCTGAGGCAAGAGGATCCATTAAGCCCAGGAGTTTGAGACTAGCCTGAGTAACAGAGTTAGGAGATCCCTGTCTCTACAAAAAAACAATAATAATAAAAAAAAATATTAGCAGGGCATGGAGGCTCAAAGCTGTAGTCCCAGCTACTTGAGAAAATGCAAAGGAAAACTAAGGTAATCTCAATAAACAGTATAGCTGGAGAAATTATACAACCAGATAGCAAGACTTACTATAAATTACTTATAAAGTAATTATGACAGTGAGCTACTGGCATAAAGACAAATAAATGGCCCAATGGAATTGTAGATCAAAATATAAGAGCAGAAACAATAAAGCTTTTAAAAAGAAAACAAGAAAAGCGCCTCATGATCTTGTAATAGGTGAAGACAAAGAAAAAAGCACTATATGAAAGGAAAAGTGCAATGAATTGGACTATATTAAGAATGTCTACTCTTCAAATCATGCCATTAACAAAAGCAGAAGTGAAAAAATAAAAGATGAGATGAAGGAAGAGATTAAATATACACACATCCAGCAAAAGATAAGTATTCAGAAAATTTCAAGTACTCCCAAGAGGAAGAAAAAAAGCTAGATCCACAGCATAGAAAAATGTAGCATAATATTTAAACAGGTACTTTATCAAAGAGGATATCTAGATGGCCAAAAAGCATGTAAAAAGGTGCTAAAACATTATAAGTCCTCAGGGAAATGCAATAAAACCATAACGAGATACGACCACAGTCCCACTAGAATAGCTAAAATGGAAAATCGACAATGATGTTATCAAGGATGTGGGACAATGAAATCCTTAATACCCTCCTGAGGAAAGTGAGTTCGGGCTGTATCCATCAAAGTGGACATCTGTAAATACATAACATATCAATTCCACTCCTAGGTATATATCTCCAATAACCATGTGCCCCACTGTGCACCAAAGACATGTGAAAGATTATTTATTAACAGACAAAAAAGGGAAAAATCCAAATATCCACTAACCATGGAATGCATAAAGTGAGATATATTTATACAATAGCATACCATATAGCAACAAATATGAAAACTAAAACCATATACAAAAACATGGATAAATCTTATAAACATAATCTGCAGAAATAAGGCAGATGAAAAAGAATATAACAGCTATTATTCCATTTATGTAAAGATAAATATAGGCAAAAATTGGCAAACGGAATATATGGCATGAGAAGCAAGACAGCAGTCAAGCAAGAGAATGGAGGGAGTGAGCAGGAAAGGGGGAAGACAGGATGATGGGATGCTCGTAAGGATCTCAGCAGTAGCTACAAAGTTACTTTCACTTTGTGAAACTGACTCTGTGATAATTCACCAAACAATATACTTACAATTTGTGCACTGTTATGTTTGTATCTTATTGTAAAACTTAGGCAATTCTACATATGCTAATAGAAAAAACTCCGAAATATGTGTGTGGTTTAATGAAAAAGTGTACTACATAGACCATTAATGTTTTTGCAATGAACATTTTGCAATATACGTTTCTGTATAATCATCATGATGGTAACATTTACTGAATGCTAACTATTTGCTAAGGTACTATTCTAGGCACTTTATATACATTGTCATTCCTCTCAAAAACATTATGAAGTAGGTAGTATGTAGGGAGTATTTAGTAGGTAGCATTATGATTTTGATTTTATAAATTAGAATACCGAGGTATAGAGATACCAAGTAACTTGTTCACAGTCACCTAGACATAAATCTGAAAACCCAGGACAGTAACCTAAGCTCTCCAGAACCAATCCTCACCACTATCTTCTCTCTAAAAAGAGACATGAGAACCTGGCAACACCGGTGCCTCTAGGAGATTTGAAGACGGGGTGACAGGCTGAGAGGAAAGCTGACTTATCATGGCATACTCTAGGTACCTTTTGAAGGAATACATTTGTATGTATTATTTATTATCAAAAATGTATTTATTAAAAAACTTTCTGATGGTTTATAATATCTGAGCTACATGAAACTGCTTTATCCTAAAGGTATGAATAACTCACTGTGTTGCTGCTTTACCTGATTTAGGATGCAAAGCATCACATTGGGCATTGTACATATGCACAAATTCCTGATGCCTTTTAATGAGCTGCTGTTTATTTCCTTGGATAGATAATCCATGCTGCTTCAGCTTTTTCTTTAAGTCACGATCAGAGAGCAAGTTATATACAGTTTTGGGCAGTGGCTTCCTTTTGTGAACAGAACTGAAAAGGGAAAAAAGATCTCTGAGGATTAGTGTGAATTATCAAATGCTTCACATGTAAAATGATAAATTACCTTCTGACTCAACACCCGAGTGAGTGGAAAAAATAGCAGAACCAATAAGATAAAAAGGGGAAAGATGATAATCAAGTTTGTAGATGAAAGTTGACAACGTTTGACATAATGCACACAAGGTACTGGTGGGATAATCACACAGAGGAGTCTAGACAGCACCAGAAGTGAATGACTCAGGTCTCAAAAAGAGGACAGACATAAAGACGCACACTTGGAAGGGACATATGGAAGGCTTGTAGAATATTATTATGAGAACGTCACATAGAATCACATCTATATAGATCTATTCAATCTACACCCTTTTAAAGCATGTTTTTCCTAAAATTTTACCATGGTTTCCATGCAAAATCCCAGTAAAAACCAGTTATCTCAGATGATGAGAGCACAAATGCTACTAAGGCTATGGATGTAAAGTTATATCATCACATACAGCTTCCTTAAAGTTCTGATCCACAGAAAAACACTGCCGCCCCCCCACCCCAAGCCGAAGGCAGTTATTTTGCAAAGGCACTCTACAAGTAAGAGAAGACATGTTAGGATGATTAGCTTTACCCGACTGACTGTCACTGGTCACGACTGAAAAAATAATTCAGAAAGTTGACAAGTAGACAATATTCTTATGGGATCATTTTCAAAGAACACAAGTGAAAACAACAGTAAAAAATACAAAAGAAACCACTTTTAAAAATACATGAAAAATGGTATTTAAGATTAACAGCAAGTGTGAAGAAATTATAAATAATAAAAACTAAAGATATAGGGAAGGGTCCTCTTGAAATAGACAGCCTGTGAAACTACCGCTAAATTGTAAATGATTCTCCCTGGGAAACTTTTCTGAATGCGTCCCTGAGACAGAGTAGGCATTTTCTGGGCCACAGAAATTATCTTCTGTGCAAGTTACTTTTAACACTCAGCATGATGGATAAGAAGTAGTTGCTTCCAGCTCTGAGGGCAGAGATAAAAGTTCATAAAAATCTTCATATTACCAGTATTTACCACTAATTTGCATTTTAAAAAAAAGTCAATGAGTAGAGAATGGACAAAGGAGAACAATTAAAAGTCATTGTATGGCTCAGGGCCGGTAGCTCAGCAGTTAGGGCGCCAGCCACATACACCAGAGCTGGCGGGTTCAAATACAGCCCAGGCCTGCCAAACAATGACAACTACAACCAAAAAATAGCCAGGCGTTGTGGCGGGTGCCTGTAGTCCCAGCTACTTGGGAGGCTGATGCAAGAGAATCACTTAAGCCCAAGACTTTGATGTTGCTGTGAGCTGTGATGCCAGAGCACTCTACCCAGGGGAACATATTGAAATCTGTTTCAAAAAAAAAAAAAAACAAAGTTCTTGTATGAATGCCAAGAAAGGTAGCAAAATGGAACTACAGAATATACATATATATATATATATATATATATATGTTTATACATTATACACAGTATCCATCAAGTTTGTGTACTATTGTAAATTGCACACTATTTTAAATTGCAAACGAACTTTATGGACACCCTGTGTGTGTGTGTATATAAAGATATATACACACACTCTCATATAAATCATGAATGAACAAATTAAGATAATTTTTTCTACCAATATGGCCACTACTATTTTATAGAGTAGTAATATATCACTACTAATATTCATCAACTTGCTAATTATGATAAATATTCCACAAATTAATAAATGGTATCTCCTGTCTATCATGTGAATGACTCCCCAGATGGCTCAAAATATCAAGAAAGCCTAGAAATACCATAAAAAAAAATACAGCAGGGTACTGTTATCTTCAGCTATCTATGTTAATAAATACATAAGGCATTATAAGTATAGTACCAAAATGACCATCAGGCTTTTCATTCTATTTACATAATTAATACACTGATAAGCCCTAAATAATTTCAAATATAACAAAGCCACATTAAATTACTTCTACGCTCTCCACAAAAGACAGTTAATAAACATTATTTCTTACAGTGGACTAGAATTTGACCTACCTAGTATCAATGACTTGATACTTGAGTAATCTGACCTACCTCAAAGTATCAATGAAGTAGGAACTCCGAGCTAAGCATGGTGGCTCATCCCTATAATTTTAGCACTTTAGGAAGCTGAGGAGGGTGGATTGCTTGAGCTTCGAGAGTTCAAGATCAGCCTGAGCAAGACAGCAAGACCCCATCTCTACTAAAAATAGAAGAATTAGATGGGCATTGTGGTAGGCACCTACCTACAGTCCCAGCTCCTCAAGAAGCTGAAGCAAGAGGATGTCTCAAGCCCAAGAATTTGAGGCTGCTGTGAGCTACAAGAGCTATGATGACACCATAGAACACTACCCAAGGCAACAGAGTGAGATGACAGAGTAAAACTCTTGTCTGAAAAAAATTTTTAAAACCCAGGAACTCTGCAGTGAGTTTTAATCCATTTCCTCTAATTAAATCATAGTTCTCTTGAGTACATTGCCCGGCTAGCTCTATGGCAATTAGGTGCCTAATAAATGTGCTCAAAGTAGTCATTAAAATTGCTATCATTTCAAAATGAGAATAGCAATGGTTTGCATAAAAATTAACAGGAACTTGAAAGTAATAGATTTGTCCATCTGTCACAAAGGATTTGCATATAACTAGTTCACAAAAGGCTGTGATTCCCAAATGTTAGCATCTCTCAGAATGACCTGGAGAGCTTGTTTAAAATGCAGATTCTTCTCCCTCTCACATCTAAGACAAAGAAAAATAAAATAAATAAAATAAAATGCAGCCTTTCCGATTTCCTTCACCACACCACCCACCAATTGTGGCTCAGGTCTGAAGTGGAGACTTAAAATCTAAATTTTTGAACAAAGTTCTACAGGATAAATATGATATAAATAGTTCAAAGGTCATATTTAGAGTAATATTACAGTTAAGTATAGACCAAAACCAACCAAACATTTCTTTAGTAACCAACAGCACCTTTCCCTGGCTAACTTATTTTTTTATGCACTATTAATAAAGTCTAAAAGCCAGAAATAACTATTTAACTGTGAAAAGACCTGAGAACCTCAACAGATTATATTTTTCTGAAAATTGCTCTTCTTATAATGACAGCCCATTGGATTCTACAAGATTGATAAAATTATAGTAAAATAAAATCACAGCAGGCAGTAACAACTAAATCGTTTTATAGGTGTTTATACAAGCACAAAGGGTAGGAGGATTCATTAAATCTGTGTCTAAAACATTTTCTTATCAAGGATAGATGATTAAATTTATGACTATGAAATTCTAATGAAGAAATCTATTGTCCACTGGCATTTACAATAAAAAGCACCACCAGATATCTACAATTTCTTTCCTTCTTTTCTCTTTTTATTTTTATATTTATTTATTTATTTATTTGAGACAGAGTCTCACTCTGTTGCCCAGATTAGAGTGCCATGCATCATCATCAGCTCACACCAACCTCAAACTCCTGGGTTCAAGCAATACTACTGCCTCAGCCAGCTAAGCAGCTGGGACTCCAGGGGCATGCCACCAACTGAGGTTAAGGTTTTCATTTTTTGTAGAAATGAGGTCTCTCTATATTGCCCAAGCTGGACTCAAACTCTGGGCCTCAAGCAATTCTCCCACCTCAGCCTCACTAAGTGCTGGGATTACAGGCATAAGCACTGCACTAAGCCCAGCAGGGCCAGTTCTATGTGACCAAACCCCAAAGCCATGATACAACTAAAAAGAAAAGTAGCTCAATGCTTCCTTCAATGTGGCTTCACAAATACCAGCTTTGTCAGGTGGGGGTTATGAGGACAAAATGGTTTTGAGGTCAGATAAACTTAGGAATTACTGTATTAAACAGTTATCCCTAATACAGGAATTCTCAGAGCCCTTGATACGTTAAGAGGAGGATACAGCAGGCAGTGCTTCTAAGGTAAACTACTGAGCAACTGGTAGTATCCTTTGGAGCAGGATTTGGAACTACTATTAGAACTTAATTACACATGAACGAGGATGTCTTCGCATAAACTGACAGTGCCAAATGTGTCAGAAATATAATGGGTACATCTAGAAAAAGAAGATTCAACAAGATTATCAGTACCAATTCCTTACTCTTCAGCAAGAAAATACTCAGCTTCTACATTCCCAGCTCTCTAGGAAGAAATATTTCTAAAGAGAAAAGCAGGTCATTAGACTCTCATAGATTATAGAAAATATCCTTACAAGTATCCAGTTTAATTTATTCCAAATCTCCACTATCTAAGCAAACTAAAAATTTAAATTTTACTCTCATCAATAAATTTTCCCTCTAGGTGGGAGCATTGTGCACACAAGACTGCTACAGTAAGGTGACCAGATTTTAACATTGGTAAAGCGGGACACCATTGATCAGGGGTGGGGTGGAGGAGGGGTGTACTCTTGCTTAAAAATTTGGTCTAGATGGAGCAACAAAAATTTTCATAGAACACAAAAATAATATTGTAATTTTTTTAAAATTTCAACATAAGTACAATTTACAAATATAATACATTTTTAAAAAATTATGTATAGGGTGGTGCCTGTGGCTCAAAGGAGTAGGGCTCCGGTCCACCTGGGCGACCTTGCCCAGGAGGGGAGTAGGGAGTTTACATTAGCCTTTTCATTTCCAAATGAAGTTACATTAATCTCTTCATTCCCAAATGGAGTTACATTAACCTTTTCAGCAGCCGAAAACCATATATTCCCTTCCTGTTGTCCCACCGTTCCCTAGCTTGTCGTGCATTCTTTCCAAAAATCGGGACTTTTTTTAAAATGCCACAGGACGGGGACAAATTGTTGAAAATCAGGACTGTCCCACCAAAAGCGGGACATCTGGTCACCTTATGCTATAGGTTTTGGCTCAAGTAGGTCCACAACTGTAAATTAATAATGCACCACTGTGTTTTATCTGTTAGCGTTTGTATTGTAAGTTTAACAGTGTGAGTCAGTCCCTTGGAACCTGCATTCACTCTAAATTTACTCATAAGAATTAAGCATAAAAAATAATAAAATGGCTCTAACTGTTTTTGGAAAATACTCTATGAAGTCCTTCAAAACAGACCAAACATAAGAGGCTTTCTAATTCATACCCATTTCCCAGACACCATTAATTTTTTCAGCTTCCAAGTTTCTCTGAATTATCACCTACTCTCTTCCCCTTTCTTCCTGCTTCAGAATTAGAGTCCTTTCTATATATCTAGGATAACATCATTATCAGACTCTTGATCTCATGTGCTCCCTCCTTTCATCTGCTCTTTACTTGGAGATAGTGGAAGGAAAGAGACTAAAGCCCTAAATAAACCCCTGTTTTTAAAAATAAAATCTTTCCTTGATCTGGCTGTTCACGCCTTTTCCAAACTACTCTTTCATCTCTCCTCCTCCCTTCAACCCATCAAATTTGCAGCTTCTGTTTCTTTGCCTTGATTAACCATTCATTCCTTAATACCCTGTACTTTAACTTTGATTCAAATTTCATTCCAGAACAACTCAATGGACTAGTTTAAGAAATGACTAATACTTCAATGTACATGTACAAGGGAGGCAGAATAGTACGGTAGTTTAGGTGCAAATACTGAGCTGACAATTTATTAGTTATGTCACATGGGTGATCTGGGATGGGAGGAAACATTACATTTCATACATACCCCTTTGTACCATTTTATATCATGTCTATATAACCACCTAGTCAAAAATAAGTAAATTTTTGAAAAATTTAAAGTTTTAAAACTTCTGAGCATCCTAAGTTAAGAAAAAGTTTATATGTTCTATATTCAGAGTCTAACCTTGCTTCCTTTGGCCAAGACGCCTGATAGTAGTTCTAAAATTGTAAGACAAATAAAAAGTTTGAAAATAACTGAATTCTAAGTCATTCATTTCTTATTAAGTCAAAACTTAGTAGCAGTTCCAGTATTCAATATAGCTAATCACATTTGGCAAAGTGTGATTTGAGAAAAGAACAAGAGGAGAAGGAAGGAAAAGGCAAACTAACAAAATTAAAGGAAGAAGTGAGAGAGGTAATATGACAACTGGTCACTAAGATAAAACAAAGACTGTATTGTCTTCCAACTTTATAAAGCACAAGAAACACCTGAAGTAGCTCAATGGTTATGTTCAACTTTCTTACCTTCTGAGGCTTTCCTTCTTCTCATCACGTGTTAAACAGCTATCTAAGTGCTTATTAATGTGATTTTCTGGAATGTTAACCCCACAAACAGGACAATCCACTGTATTTTTTTAAAAAGAGAAAAAGAGAACTTTATTAATTATGGAAAGAACAAAAGTAATACAGGCTGCCGCCACCTTTCAGCAATTAAGATAAAAAAGAATCCCAACTTAATATGCACTTAGAAAAGCAGAAAAGGAAAAAGATGACCCATCAGGGCAATAGGAGTAGGACAGGCTAGTTATGAGGTAATGGCTAAGTTACGGGAAGTCACACAATTAGAGTTCTGGGCCTAGAAGGAGAGACTGCAAATAAGTTTAGAAATTAGTTTATTAGAAAATGCTTTGGTTAAATCCCTTCTACCAAGGTATGACCAAACTATAAAACTAATCTTAAATGTTCCCAAGTCTTAGGAGCTATCTGTGTTTAGCATAGAAGCAATGTTAGCAACTTGAATAAGACCTCCTGGCCTGGGGCCGGGGCAGGAGATAGATGCAGCTAAATTAAAGCATTTATTGGGTTGGCCCAACTATTGCTCAATTTTGTCAATGGTCACAAGTTTTTTTGTTGTCTTTTTGTTTGTTTGTTTTTCAGACAAGGTCTTGCTCTGTTGCCCAGGTTAGAATACAATAGCATCATCATACCTCATGGCAACCTCAAACTCCTAGACTCAACTGATCCTCCTGCCTCAGCCTCAGAGTAGCTGGGACTACAGGTCCAGACCATCATACTCAGCTAATTTTTCTATTTTTTCTAGAGACAGAGTCTTGCTCAGACTCATCTTGAAGTCCTGGCCTCAAGCAATCTTCCCACTTCAGCCTCCCAGAGCACTAGAATTACAGGTATGAGCCACAGCATCTGGCCACAGATTTATTAATTTAGGTCTCATTTGTAATTTCATATATAATGTTAAAATTAGGAAATGCAATTACTCTCAAACTGTTTTATGAAACTGCAGAGATCAATGGAGGTATCTCAAGGACTAAAAACCACAGTGGATAATAGGCAGTGGCCAATGGGGAGGTCAGGTGGAACAGCATAACCTCTAGGCATTCTATCCCTACCTTAACAGAGCAGGACCAATTTCACCTATTCTGCATGTTATAGTTCACTGTAAGATTCATTTGAAAAAAAAGTCCTACTAGGGGAAAACAGTTATATCAAGCTAAAAACATTACAATAAAAACTGTCGATTGGTGAAAAGACTAACCAAGACGAGACATACTAGAAAATGTAGGTGAAATTTATATATCCTTAAGAAATGTAAACATATGAGTACCAATAAACGAACTGCAATCTATCTAAGTTTAATACACACTAACATCTCTACATTGTGCATAGTATGGGTATACCAAAGATGTCTAAGATAGTTTCTGCCTAACAAATACTTTGAACTTCAATGGCAAGAAAAGACACAGGAACAGAAGGTTAGACAAGTTGATACGGCAATCAACAGTTAAGCAAAACACAGCCCAGAAAGTAAGTGCTACAGTTTAGTGATGTGAGATATCAATGTTTTCTAACCAAAGAACAGTTAGAATCCAAAGAGAGTCTGGAAAGGTGTAGACCAGGAGTTGGCAAACATTCTTAGTAAAGGGCAAAGGAGTAAAGAATTTAGGCTTTACTGGTCATAATGTCTCTTTCACAACTATGCACCACTGCCACTATAGCATAAAACAGTCATAGACAAGATATTAAAAAAGGGTATGTAAATCTTCATTTACAAAAACAAGTGGCAAGTCAGATTTGGCCTAAAAGTTAAAGTTTACCATTCCCTGGGCATACTGGAGGAACAGTGAGGGGATCAGCTTGGCTAGAGAAGATCTTCTGACAGGGAGAGGTAAGAAATAAGGTTGGGAGAGCTAGGGTAGGGCTCATATTATGAAAGGCTTTAAATGTCAGGCAGAACAGCACAGAGGCAATCATGCCGTAATACAATAAATATTAAGAGCTCTTTGCAATTAAATAGGATCTAATATATTGAATGGGGGTGGGGAGAAGGATTAAAAGCTAAAAACTAGAAAGCTGCTGCCATGTATTAAATATGAACTAATTAAAACCATTTCATTTTTACAGGCTGAATTCCTATCCTGTGACAAAAAGGGAACAAACATACCTAGAAATGCTGACTACATCAGTCTCTGCAATTATGATTATGCAATTATGAAATTTAGTTTGTCCTTTCTCATTCTTTCCCCCTCAAAAAAGCTGTCCATGTATTACCTCATGTGAATAAAAAGAAAGTAAGAAAATACACATATGAAAATGACTTCCTACCTTTAGTAACTTGTTTCAAAGTGGATGTAGATGGTGTCTCTGGACCATTAGCCTCTGAGGAGCCTGGAGTCATCTTTTCTACAGAATGTGTCTCTCTGGACTCTGCAGTAGTACTTGCCTCTTTTTGAGGGCTGAATTTACTTTTATTTTCTTTTATCAACAACTCTGATGTAGAACCACCCATTTCTCTGATCAAGAAATTATCCATTAACCTGCTTCCCTGCTTTAAAGAATGTTTGTAGACTACAGGAGTGTGTGCTTTGACAGCAAGGTTTTTTAAAGAAGAAGATGCAGGAGATATGGGCGGTGACTCCAAAGCAAACTGCAATAGACGATTCCTTGAAGCACAAAAAACACAATTGATAATTAAGACTTCAAATTAAGTATATTAAATTAACTGACATAAGCTGCTTTCCCAATTAACATTTACTTCTCTGAAATACAGAACTTATACCATAATGACAACCAAAACAAAGTGATTCTTCTAGTATAAAACACAAAGCAATAAAGCTGACTTTAAAAAGAAGTTAATTTGCCTACAAAAAAAAAATGGAGAGATATCAGATTCTGGCCATGGAGAACAGCTAATATGAGGCATATTCTCTACCCATAAATAACTTTAAAATCTGGATAAAACATAAAAAATAACCATTTGTAGGCACTATTCTAAAAATCAACATAAGTCTGTGATCCCTCAGAAGAAAGATGTGAAGTAATCCCCCAAGATTTTACCTTGGGAGAATTCTCTTAGAGCCAGGTATTAAACTGAAGTCCAAACAGAAAATTTTCCTCTCTTTGGGTAGAAGAAATAGGGATCAGCGTTTTGGGCAAAGGTTGTTAAGACTGGGGAAACAGGGTACTTGGCATCAGAAAGTCAGCTTAGAAATGCTCATTCTTCCTACTCATCTCCAGGGCTGTACAAGATTAGACGAAAGGAGATCTGGTAGGAAGCAGATACTAGTAAACTGAAATTCCAAAGGTCAGTGCCGGAAAATTGCTGGTGTTTAAGCCCAGACAAAGCTTCAGTGAAAACCATGAACATTCAGGTGAGACCCTACACACACACACAAAGTCACACCTTAGGAAAAAGAACCATATGTGGAAATACATATAAAAAAAACAAAACAGAGCCTACCTAGTAAAACACTACACCAGGCCTTGAAAGGTGAAGAGCTGGTAATTTCCTGCCTGTCAGAGCAAAATTCATCTTTCCAACAAAGAAAATTCACAGCTTCTCCAATTTCATCTACAATATTCAGCACACATTTGAAACTTACAGAACATGCAAAGAAGCAAAAGTAGTAATCAAGAGATAAAATATTCAAGAGAAGACGACCCAAAAGTGATCCAAGAAGTAGCATTAGCAGATGACTTCAAACTATGATAAACATGTTAAAGAAAAAAAGCACAGACAGTGTTTTGTGTATTGTGAGAGAGACACAAAATCCATAACAAGACTCAAATGAACATTCTATAATTGCGAAATACTAAATTTAAATTGTGTGAGTATAACAGCAGACAGAGAAAACAGAATTAGTAAACCTAAAGGCAGGTCAAAAGAAAATATCCAAACTAAAGCTCAGAGAGAAAAAGATAAGGGAAAAAACTATGAGCAATGGAATATAATTGGAATCCCAAAAGAAACAGAAAGATGGAAAATAAACAATATTAGAAAAATCAAAGGCAGAGAATTTTCAAATACGATAAAAAAATTGACATGAAATTCAGTAACATAAAGATAGCTAGAAAATCTCTAAATGTTATCAAATTAAGCACCACATTCCTAAATAACCCTGTATGTTAAAATTCAGGGGTCCTCAAACTTTTTAATCAGGGGGCCAGTTCACTGTCCCTCAGACCAATGGAGGGCCGGACTGCAGGCCCCGGGACAAGTCAGCTGCTAAGCAGGACAGGCAGCAGCGGCAAAAACACCCGTGGGCCCAATAAATGTCCTAGGCGGGCTGCATGTGGCCCACGGGCTATAGTTTGAGTTCGCCTGGAAAGCAAAGGTAACTAAAAAATATTCTGAGTGGAATGATAGACAGCATGGAGGGTTGTCAAAACAGTCCATAGAAGGAAAATTATTGACAATAAAAAAGTGAAAATCAATATTCTAAGCTTCCAATTTAAAAGGTTAGGAAATAAAATAGAAACTAAGCACCAAGAAGAAAGGAAATAACAGATAGTAGTGAGATAGAAAAGTGACATACATAAAGAGAAAATTATCAAAGCTAAAAGTTCATTCTTTCAAAATTTAACAAAGTTATTAAATCCCTACCAAGACTGAAAAAGAAAAAAAGAGTAGGCTTTGCGCCTATAAGCTGTGATGCCACAGCACTCTATTTATTGATATTGATATTAAGAAAAAATATAGAGATAAATTTTGAAGATGTATCATGACCAAGTAGGATTAATTCCAAATGTAAGGCTGGCTTACTATTTACAAAGTCAATCAATGCAATCTACCACATTAACAAAATAAAAGAAAAAATATGCATAATCATCTCAATAAATGCAGAAAAAAATGATAAAATTTAACCCTCACTCATAATAAAAAACACTCAGAAAATCAGGAATAGAAGGAAACTTTCTTAATTTGATAGAAGATATTTTCACAAAACCTACAGCTAATTTATATTAGCAAACATAAATAAAATTTTAAAATAAATATCACTTAAAATGCCATTGAAAATATTGATATTTATGAATAAGGTTAGAGAAATAATAGACTTAAATAAGTAAAGAAATATTCCATGTCTAAGGACTAGAAGACTCAACAATGTTAGGATGCCCATTTTTCCTCACACTGAATTATAAATTTAATGCAATTTCAATTAAAATATAAGCCACTTTGGAGGGATGAAAATGATATATTCACTCTAAAATTTATATGAAAATGCAAAGGCCCTAGAATGGCCAGCAGTATTGAAGAAGACGTAAGTTAGAGAACTTGAACCACCAGATTTTAAGGACTTATGGTACAGCTACAATATTAAAGACACTGCAATTATCAGCTTAATAAAAGGCAAAGAGAATATGAAACATAATGTGTCCAGAAACAGACCTACGTTATTTAAATAGGTTTTTTTAATAAATGAGCAGTGCGAGAGCAACTGAATATTTGTTGAGAAAAAAATAAATCCTGCGCGGCGCCTGTGGCTCAAAGGAGTAAGGCCCCGGCCCCATATGCTGGAGGTGGCAGGTTCACACCCAGCCCCAGCCAAAACTGCAATAAATAAATAAATAAATAAATAAACAAATCCTAACCCTTATCTCCACCCGCCACAAAAATTAACTTGAACGGTTTCACAGACCTAAAAGTAAAGGCTAAAATTATAACAATTCTAAAAAAAAAAAAAAAAAAAAATCAAAAAACCTTGATAGGCAAAGATTTTTTAGGATAAAAATCAAATAATTAAAGAGAGAGAAACTAGACTTCATTAAAATTAAAACATCTGCTCATCCAAAGATATCCTTAAGAAAATAAAAAGGCAAGTACCAAACAAGAAGAAAAAAACTGCAATTATCAAAATTGTAAGGTCAAAGAGCACATGAAAAAGGCACATTAGTCATCAGGAAACATACATTAAAGTCACAATGAGCTACCAATTCACACCCAATAGAATATATAAAACTAAAAGGCCTGAAAGTGAAGAATATTAACCAGTATGTACAGCAAATGAGACTCCCATACACCGCTGGTGGGTAGGAATACTGTCCATTTCTTAAAAAGTTAAACATACATGTACGCTCTAACTCAGAAATTCCATTCCTAAATATTTACCAAAAAGAAATGAAAATATATGCCTACACAAAGATTACACACAACTTCCACAGCAGCTTTTGTTAGAACAGCCATAAACTGGAAATAATCCAACTATATCAAAAGATGAATGGACAAGCAAATTATGTAAATTCAGACAATGGAATTTTATTCAGCTATACAAAAGAGTGAATACTGATACACACAAAAACAGACAATAACAGAAAGAGCATGTGAAGGGAAAGAAAAAAGTAACTTATATGCTGTGTGATTCCATTTATGGAAAGTTTAAGAAACTATCATGATAGAAAGTGAATGGTGGTACCTCTGTGAATGAAGAGTTACTGGAAGCACAGTAAAAGAATTTTCTATGGTGATGGAATAGTAATAGTAATGTTTGTAATAGTAATTATTTACATGTGTGCATTTCTCAAAATTCAGTGATCAAAATCCAAGCTTGCCATTCTCTGCATCAGTTTTTTAAAAAAATCAGTATGAAAAATAATAAAAACAATTTAAGGAACCTCATGGATATACTAATCACAAAAACTAGAAATTAAATAATAAGACAATAACAAATAGTGGTGAGGATATGGACCAACCAGAACTCTCATTTTGCTAGTAAGAGGATAACTGACTAATAATTTGGAAACTAGCTTTAAAGGTACCAAGAAACAAATGAATACCTACCCTATGACCTAGCAATCACACTTCTAGATACACACCAGCAGAAATACGTGCCAAAGGACATGTAGAAAAATGTTTGCAGCAGCTGTATCGTAATAGACAAGAACTAGAAACAACTCAAAGTTCTTTAAATAAAGAAATGGAGAAAAAAGTCATCTATATAATGGTACTCAAAAGACTCAAAAGAAGAGTCAATGTTCACTGTATAATCTATCATTGGATTGGATCTCTCTTTCTCTATTGGCCTGAAGTTAGTAAAACTACTCTATTAACACACATACCACATAGGAGTTAGTTGCTTCATTGGACAGGAAATGGTATAGAAAGAATCAAAGCAGCAATTATTTTATTTTGCCTCATAGTTTTATAGAAATTAACAAAAATTCCATTTACATTAAGATGTCCTGCTTCTTACCCTATTTTATTAATAAGTAGTTGCAATCTGAAAGTTCCAATCCTTTCAATTATGCCCAAGAGCAACGGGTGTTATCTAACATATTCAGGGAAGGCAAGGAGATGAATTAAGAAGAATTAAGATTGTCCATGAGGTGGCGCCAGTAGCTCAGTGGGTAGGGTGCTGGCTACGTACAATGAGGCTGACGCGTTTGATACTGGCCCAGGCCACCTAAAAAAACAATGACAACTGCAATGACAACAACAACAAAAAAAAATAACTGGGCCATTGTGGCGGGCACTGTAGTCCCAGCTACTTGAGAGGCTGAGGCAAGAGAATCACTTAAGCCCAAGAGTTTGAAGTTGCTGTGAGCTGTGATGCCACGCACTCTACTCAGGGGAAGACTGTCTCACAAAAAAAGCAAAAAAGATTGTCTGTGAGTTAACAAATGTTTAAGTTAAGAGACAGGTAGATTTGGGAATCAGAGAGACATT